TCTCTCTCTCTCTCTCTCTCTCTCTCTCTCTCTCTCTCTCTCTCTCTCCCTCTTTCTTTCAAGAAAGGTTTTACAGCTCTTGCTGTCCTGAACCAGGTTGGACTTGAACTCACTGAGATCCTCCTGCCTCTGCCCTCACAATTATTGGGATTAAAGGCAAGCGCTGCCACCACCACCATCCAGCTTTTTGTGTATTTTTTGAGACAGGGTCCCTTTATATAGCTTTGGCTGTCCTGGAACTCACTATGTAGACCAGGCTGGCCTCAGACTCACTCTGCTTTTATCTTCCGCATAGAGGGGTTAAAGGCATGAGCCACGGAGCCCAGCTAGTTACTAACTTCAAGGGCTGAAATATGTCAGAGAGATATGTCAGTAGGCAGAGATGCTTGCTTACAAGCCTGATGACCTGAGTTCGATTCCTGAGACTCATGTGGTGGAAGAAGAGAACCAACAGGGCTTTAAGTTTATCAGTATTTGATCTGGCTCTAGGATTTCTTCACAAAGGTCTTCTGGTTCTGATGGGTTTACCTTTGTACCTAACTTGGAGCTTCTGCCATACAGCTTTCAGTATTTTTTTTTCTTTGTTTGGCTCCATCCTCATTAAAACCATAAACTGACATGGAGAGGTGGTTTTCTGGGCATGTCTAGTCAGGGTTGCACATTCTTCCTGTACTTACATGATCATATCTCTCCCAAGATTTGGAATTTTTTTATGCTGGACTTTCATGGAATAGAGTTTATGTGTTTAGACTATAACTTGACTCATTTTTAAGGCCAAAGTTCATAGGATTGTTGTCTTTTTAAAATATTTATTTTGTGTGTGAATGTTTTACCTGCATGTACATGTGTGCATCAGGTGTGTACCTGCACAGAGCTCAGAAAAGGCATTGGCTCTTCCCTGGAACTAGAGTTATAGACAGCTGTGGGCTACCATTTGCATGCTGGTTATCAAACCAGAGTCCTCTGAAAGAGCAACAAGTGCTCTTGATAGTTGAACCATCTCTCCAGTCAGGATTAACCTCTTGATCGTGTCCCAGTGTTCCCTGAACTCTGTGGTCATGATGACTCTGCTCTTTTCATTTGATTTTTGCTATTTGAGGGCAATAATTTTTCTCTCTTGTATTTGATCCCTGGAATTCTTTGTTACACTTGGTCTAGATGCTCTCTGTTAAATGTCTGTTTGCTTTATTAACTGTTGCATTTCCATGGTATCTGTTTGACCTCCCTACCACACCCCCAGAGGGATCTCTATCTCATTGTCAAAGTTTTCACCTGCTTCGTGAGTTCACTTCTTTCCTTCATTCTTCCATTTCATGTGACCCCTTTTAGCTCAGAGGCCATCTAACAGCCTTGCCTTTTTTTTCACATTTTGGAGCTCCTGTGTTTTCCTGACTCTTCTCACCGTGGAATCAATCACACAAAGGAAACTTCTAAGCTACAGTGTTACCCCAGAACCTTTGCTTTAGTTTATTGTATTTTAGTTTATTTTGTACGTGTGTGAGTATTTTGTTTGTATATATGTTTGTAGTCCATTTGTATGCCTGGTGCTGGCAGAAACCAGATGAGGGCATCAGATCCTCTGGAACGGGAGGTTCAGACAGTTATGAGCCACCATATGAATGAAACTCACGTCCTCTGGAAGGGCAGCTGCATAACCATCTCTTCAGCCCAGAAGCTTTGCTTTTCTCTTTTCCTTTTCCTTGCTGCGTGCTTGGGTTTTGTCACTGATGGAATAAAGTTGTTGATTATGTTTTCTACACAGAGACGATGGTTGAGAAAGGCGAGGTGCTTGCCATATGCTCTGAAGAAGAAGAGGACCGTGCTGGAGATGCCATCAATCCTCCATTACCCAAAATGCGGTGCCTTGTGACCCTGAAGCCAGTAGAGGATAAAGAGGGAGAACCCCATCGTAAGGCCTCGGTCACTGCAAAGGGAGACGGTAATCGGGGTTCCCTGTGGCTAGACAGATTCCAGTGTGTTTGCAAGTGGAAGGGGACATATGTGAAAAGATGAACACGATGTTGTGCCCTACACAAAACAGATGGTCTAAAGCAGCTTCCTGCCCGTGGATGGGATAAACTCTAACAGAGGGTGAGGTGCTGTGTCTCGTGGCCTGCGTGCAGCACCTAGTCATGTGTCTTCTTTCCTGTCCTTACGTCTCCTTCACACTGTACTTTGGATGGTCTCCTGACTCTGCATCTTTTATAGCAGAGACTGTTGTGCGCAGCATCAAGTGATCTGAGACATTACCATTCATGCAGAGCATGCTTTCATGTAGCTGTTCACATCTTCATTTATGGCCATTTACCAGGGTTTCCATGATCTACTTTGTATTTCTGTTCCTTACTGGTGACTCTTTGCCACTATCTCTCCCCCCCCCCTCCGCCGCCACTTTTTTTTTATTTATGTGCTTAAGCGTGCAATGCTTTCTGAACCAGACTGTTTGTATACTGCTTTGTAGTCTACTCTGGCCAGACTGACTACCACAAAGGACCAAAAATGCCTTCTCTGCCCTTTCTCTTTCCCAGTCTTGTCTACTTCTTTTAGTTTTTTTTTTTTTAAGTTTCCATGTGTCCTATGTTGTGGCAGTGTGTGTGGAGACAAGAAGAGGAGATTAGATGCCCTGAGACTGGAGTTACAGGCAGCTGGGAACTTCCCAACTGAGCTGAGATCATCTGGGAGAGTGGCAAGCACTCTTCACTTTTGAACCCATCTCTCCAGCCCCAAGGATTAAGTTTGACCGCAGTTCCTCCCTGATGTCCTCATGGCACTCCGAGTTCTGTTAGGGCAAGGGGGGAGCTTGCTTATCTATGTCATTGCTGTCATCACATCCTGCCTGCTGGCTAGCCCAGCAGGAGTTGAGCAAACAACATAGGTGCGTCAAGCTAGGAGGGGAAGATTCACATGGAAGAGAAAAATCATTCACAGATTAGGATTTGCGGTGAAGGGGTAGCAATATCTTTTGTTGTTGTTGTTGTTGCTTGCTTGTTTTTTTAAAATTCTTTTCATTTTCTTTTTTGATTTTTCGAGGAAGAGTATCTCTGTGTAACAATTCAGGCTGTCTTGGAACTCGCTCTGTAGACCAGGGTGGCTTCAAACTCAGAGATTACCCTTCCTCTGCCTCCCAAGTGCTGGGATTAGAGGTGTGTGCTACTGCCACCTGACAATATCTCTTAGATTTATTTTTTTATTTTATTTTGATTAGTGTGTGTGTGTGTGTGTGTGTGTGTGTGTGTGTGTGTGTGAATGCAGGTGATCTCGGAAACCAGAGGACTCATATCCTCTGGAGCTTGAGTTACAGGTGATGATGAGTGTGGCTCAGTGTGGGTGCTGGACCTGAACTTGTGACCTCTGCAAAGGAAATAAACACTCTTAACTGCTGAGCCATCTCTCTAACCCCGAGAAATACCTTATATGTTCACACCATGCGATATTTTCCCCCTATAAAGTACATCAAGGTGAGACTAAACCATGCACACCAGAGATCTGTACATGTTTGTTTCTTCATTGTCCTGTCCAGCTATTGTGTGTGTGTGTGTGTGTGTGTGTGTGTTTGTGTGTTTGTGTGTGTTCAGGAATCCAGAAGCTACAATGTATCCTGGGTTCGGTCTGCAGTGGATGAGATTTCTCTCTGGTATTCTCTCCTCCTCTGAAAGAATTTTAGACCCCAAGGAGCACAGGGATGCTTGTGTCGGGGGACAGAGCCCACCCACTTCACAGCTCAGCTTTTCCCTTTGCTTTCCAGGTGCTACTGACAGCCTGAAGGCCCAGGACACTTTGGTGGAAGGTCATTCGACAACAACCAAAGGCTCCCCGAAGTGGGTTCCTTCTGACAAATCCACTTACTGCAGCCTTGCTGGGCTCCTTCCTGAAGGTGGCGATGCCACATTTACAGGATTAATAGTTAGCAGCGAGATCCCTGCAAGTGCTCCCAGTGCTGCAGCCAGGCCTGACGGTGAAGGTGTGCCCGCTGGGAACCTAGTAAGCCGTGAGAAATTTAACGCTGAAATAAAACGTCAGCTAATGAAGGAAATTCGGCGATATGGACGGAGTAAGTACTGGGACAATGGCTACACACGGAGAAGGGAAGTATCCCTGTTTCTGTTACATTTTTCCATCTCTCTGTCTCTCAAAGAATAAACAAAGAAATCAAACAAAAATAAGAGCAAAACAATAAGACAGGAAATAACAAAACAAAAAGCAATTGTACACACACAGCCCACATCAAAACCAACCAAACAAACAAAATATGGAGTCCATTTTGTGTTGGGGCCTTCCCTGGAATGTGGTTGATATACCCTGTGACCCTCCACTGGTGAAAACTGAGTTTCCTCTTGTTAGAAGGAATTAGTTACACATAGTTTCTTTGTTAAGGGCTGAACTTTGTAACTATTTACCCCTCTCCAGACAGGGATGTCATCTGCTTAGAGCCTGTGCAGGTCTTATGCATAAGTTCAAATGTGCATCAGTACTGGTGGGTCTGGAAAATTCTGTTTCCTTGGAGTCATCCACCGCCTCTGCCTCTTTCACTCTTTTTGCCCCCTCTCTGCAGAGAGCACTGTGCTTTGACGGGAGGGTTTGGACGAATATAGCAACTTTAGGAGTGAGGGCGCTAAAGTCTCTCTCTCTCTGCCCACTGTCTAGTTGTGGGTCTCTGCATGGGTTCCCATTTACTGCCACTGGGGAGGGGCTTCTCTGAAGCTTCTGCAGTTATATGATTAGAATAACCTGAAACTGTCTCATGAGAGAGAGCCTTTGCCACAACCGAGGTGTTCTACATTTGGAGTACAGACACTCTTTACTTTGACTAAAATAGCTCAGTAGAATCCATCTTGCATTTGCAATGTTGCTTGGTTAGTGCTCGTAACAATTGCATCCGTATCTGTGCATAGGCATTTAGAACACACACACACCATTGAACATCTGTGACCATGAAGCTTATTACTGAGGTACACACAGATTCACCAAGACCCAGTTCTCTTCTGTGAAATATTGACATCCTCTTGTATTCTCTACAGAATATGGAAGGCTTTTTGAGCTGCTGGATGAAGTGCAGGGACCCCTGGGAGTCCAGATACAGTTTGTTGAGTTCGCCATCAAGGAAGCAGCAAGGTGGGTGCCCAGAGGGACCACACATCTTAAAGCTGTTGGCTCACTGCAGTGGTTGGCTAAGGGGTGGAGAACAGTGTCTACTGTGAGGTGCTCAGTTCCTGGCCCCCACTTTATAGTTCAGGCTGGTGACATAGATGTTTAGGTTGATGTCACCTGTGTTCAGCACATCCTTCCAGGCCTACCCAACCCTCCTTTGTCACGGTAGTCTTGAGCTGGGCACTGATCCTCAGTAGACACCTTTCCTATTGGCTAGAGCACGCGGTACCCAGGAGGTACTGACTATTCTCACAGACGGTGAGCCCCTGCTTTGGATCACACAGCACTTCCTCCTGCACAGATTCTTTGGGTATCTCTTTTTACATGATACGTATGTTTATTTTCAGGTTTAAAAGACACCACTTAATTCAATTCCTTGAGAAGAAACATGAAGAAATGTTGTTTCAGCTTCCTTTCCAACAATGATCCACTACTTGAGATGTAATCCAGTTACTACTGCGGTCCGCAAGATAGAACAAATAGTTTAGTATGTTCCAGAATAGAGTAGGAGGATGCCGAAGTCTCCTAGCACGTGTTTGTTAAGATAACTACAGTTAAGAAAACTATTTTAAACTACAGTTAGTAAAAAATGGGCTTTTGTCCTTTGTGTTTTGTTTAAAAGCATAACCTCTGGTTTGTTGACTTTTTTTTTCTCTCGCCTCTGCTGATTGATGTTTTTGTCTCATCAGGGAAATATCACAACAAGTCTCTAGTTTGCAGCAGGTCACCAATGTCATTTCTGGTATTTAGAACTGTCTTTTTTTCCCAGCCATTTTGTATTCCCATTGCCCAGAGATATCCACTCAATAGGTCACGGTGCTTGGCTTTATGGGCTGTCTCCAACCCTCTTTACTGAACATCTGGGCGAGTGAGTGTCCTATGTGAATCTGACTGCTGCAAATGTCTAAGAGTACTAAGAAGTACTAATGTCTAGTCACAAAGTCTAAGAGTACTAAGAAGGACTCCATACCTTGCACAAAGGCCACCCTAGCTCCTTGTATAGTAGCATCCAGTCTCATTTGAAAAAAATATTCTCACTCTATGACTTACAATAACACATGTATTACTGTGATAAAGATAGATTAAGTCTTTCAAAAATGTTCAGATGAGCACTTCTGTGTGAAGACTTCCTGTTCATCCCCCTCCCCCTCTTCTTCTCCTTCTTCTCCTTCTCCTTCTCCTTCTCCTTCTCCTTCTCCTTCTTCTTCTTCTTCTCCTTCTCCTTCTCCTTCTCCTTCTCCTTCTCCTCCTTCTCCTTCTCCTCCTTCTCCTCCTTCTCCTCCTTCTCCTCCTTCTCCTCCTTCTCCTTCTCCTTCTCCTCCTTCTCCTCCTTCTCCTTCTCCTTCTCCTCCTTCTCCTCCTTCTCCTTCTCCTTCTCCTCCTTCTTCTTCTGAGTTAGCATTAGTATGTAGTGTAGGCTGGCCTTGAAATTTTCACACCACTCTGGTTGGCTTCAATTTAATAATTCTTCTGTATCAGTCCTCCAAAGTAATAGAATTATAGTCAAATCCTACCACACATGAATCCAGTGAAGTTTTTTTTATTTCCTTGGTGAAAATATTTATTGAAGTAATGACCTATACAAAGCCAAAACTAAGTAAAATTGACAACTGATTCATATTGAAGCCAGGTATGATGTCACATGTTTGTAATCTTGGAACTCGGGAGAATGAGGCAGGGGGATTTTCTTGAATTTGAGATTATTGTGCACATAAAGTAAGCAGTGGGCCACCCTGGTCTCCACAGTGAGAACCTGTCTGAAAAAAAAACCCAGCAGTTAAAAGGATTAACACTGACAGAAACCCCACACTGTTTGCTGAGGACATGAACTAGATTATTGAAGAAACCATTATAAATCCTGGATGTTAGAAGGAAACTTCCATCCACCTTCCAGGTTCTTTCAACCTGGCCTCCAAAGGCCAGAAGGTATCAGAAGGTAACTAACTCCGTGGCGCACCAAGCTGCCCAGCTCAGGAGTATGGTAACAAGACCGGTGACAGCTGGCAACATGCTCACTGTTGGGCTTCCTTTATTGTGAGTTACATGTTTAAAAGTGATATAATTAGGAATATCTTGGTGGTCAATATCACCTTTCTAAGACCACAAGTGGTTTTCTCATAATACATTGGATGGGAATTAAAATTCATATCAAGAACTGGAGAGCTGGATGAAAGCACTTGCTGCTCTTCCCCAAGGACCTGAGTTTGGGTCCCAACACCGAGGGCAGCTCACAGCCACCTGAAATTACAGCTCCACAGAGCCTTTCCCTTCTTCTGGCCTCCATGAGCATGGACACACACATCTCTCTCCCTCACTTCCTCCCCCTCCCTCATACACACACATATTTTAAAAAATATAAATACTGTAAAAAAGAAAGTTCATATTAAGAATAAGTGTCAATTCAAGTGTAAATAGCTACCCTTTCTTTGATGGAAGCAGGCCAAAATAATCAATCTGCTACTCAGAAGCTGATTAATCACTCTGGGACACGGTGCCATATGTAAGGTTCACAGTTTGGCTCTACCACTGGCATACTGAACATTTGGCAGTGACTATACCATCAATCCTAGTGAATAAAAGTCACTTTCTACGTGCCTATACATAAATAACCTCCATCTCTCACCATGTGACCAAGATGCAACACTGCATCTTAGAAATGGATGGAGTGATAGTCTTGGTCCTAGAAATTCAACGTTGCCTTAAGGTGAAAAGGCAAAGAAATGAGCCCCACAAGCTGTAAGAAATGACACCTGTCTAATGACCCAAGTGAAGGTAAAAACAGCTGGCCTCATGTCTCAACCATTTCTTCAGAAATAGAACAAAAATTATAAACAGAGACATGTGTGAAGAGATTTAGTAAATCTTAATCACGGAAACTGAAAAGTCCCACAACAAGGTGGAGATCACGGGATCTAGCAAGAATCACAGAAGCTGATTCGGTACCTCTTAGTCCAGTATCAAGGGCCACAAAGTCTGATTGTAAGAGTGGAAGTGGGAGCCTGGACTGCAGGGCTCAGAAAATGTGACAAATACTCACCTTTCTGCATTCCCCCATTTTATTACAGTGTGTGTGTGTGTGTGCGTGCCTGCGTGCGTGCATGCATGCTTGCATGCGTGCATGCGAGAGAGAGAGAGAGAGAGAGAGAGAGAGAGAGAGAGAGAGAGAAGAGAGTCAGTCTTCTTTTACCATTCAGGTTCTGAAGATCAAACTTACTCGGGTCATCTGGTTTGATGGCATCTTTACCCACTGAACTTTATCCCTTCCCCCTTTTGTTAGTCAATCCACACTAAGGGTTAATCCTTTCCCTGTATCCACAGACAGACAGGGCAGTCTGCCTCAGAAACACCCCCATAGACAGACACACCTGGAGTGTCTTGAATATTTAAATCCAAGATCAACAGCACTTGGAACGCATAGAGAAGTGGATCTTTGTCACTTAGAGGCTGGTCTTGTCTACATATGTAGTCCCAGGCCAGCCAGGACCATATAGTGAGACCTTGTCTCAAGACAAAACCCAAATAGAATGTCAAACCACCTGGATTTCCCTTACAGCAAGGAAGAGCTGAGTTCAGTGCTTGTTGAAGTCCTGAGGCTAGTTAATGCCTGGCTATTCTGAGTGTTTTTTAAGCCGGTCAAGTTGAAACCCCAAATCAACCAGAATACTGAATATGCAGTTAATCAGCATCATGGATACAGCTTGGCACTGACTTTATGAGGCTTTAGGCAGAAGAAATAATTGCTATGATATCTGACCTACAGAACTGTTCAACCACACATTCATGTTCTTGTAAGATGCTGAATTTGTGATCCTTTGTTTTGTAGTAATAGAAACGGAATATAAGTTGCGTGACCAGGCCTGATGGCTGAGACCTATAATTCCAACTACTTGGAAGGAGTGAGGCAAGAGGATTGAAAATTCATGGTCTTCCTGGGCAATTTCAATGAGATTCTGTCTCAAAATAAAGAATATAATGTTCATGCTGTCAGCAATTTCTAGTAGGCTAACTTCTTGTGGGCCCCTTCCACCTATTGTTAGAAGTTCTTACTGGGGTATAATAATTGAGACTCACAAGGATGATTTGAGCTTGCCTCAGAACACTTGACCATTCACATTTTCATTTTCTTCTAAGATCCCGACTTTGTATAGGATCGATTTCTCGCATTCTTGTCTTGCAAGTGTGTTGCTAGTGTGCCTGGGTTACTTTCTCCATCTTCCTCACTTAGAATCATGCCATCCATACAAAAGATGGCGTCCTGTGTGCTATAGGGCAAAGGTGATCAGGCCTATAAAGACTCATTTAAGATACAAGCCTGGAGGGTTGAGATGACCATAAAACAGCAAGTGTTGGTGTACTGTCGCCTTTCTCAGGTGGAACCAAAGCATTCCTTGTGGTGATTATTACTGAAAGAAACAAGCGTTCATCCCATTGGTGCTCTGTGCTGGACACTCAGGCTTGTGCTGATTACAAAAGCACCAAAACCACAAGCAGAAATGCAGATATAACTGGGACAGTCATCAGATTAGGTTTATGATAATCCCCTTACTCATCTCTAAGATCAGTTGTGTCTGTACAGGATCAAAGTAAGGTAAAATGGATGATACGATAATTACCTTCATCCTTCAAGTCCTTGGTGGTGCCACAAATCAGAACAGATTTGGGTGAACCTGAACCATTCTTTTTTTTTTTTTAAAAAAAAAGAGGATAAAGGGCATGGCTTACTGTATCACCAATAAGAACTCCTAGGGGCAAAGAAAATTTAATCAAGGGCCAAAAGGGGAAGAAAAAAAGTGGATGAGTCAAAAGGTAAAATAATATGAATTGGTCACCTACATTTTCAAGAGTGGGGAACTTTCTAGAGCTCAGCCAAAGGGAAGTGTCAAAGCAATGAAAACTACAGGGTAGAGCACATAGTCACCTTTATAATGGCACTCTCACTTTGGTACAGTTCCCAAAGTGTGTTCCACGATGCTGCCAACTTTGCAGAATGGTACTTTGTGCTGCTCCTGATTTCCCTGGGGTTAGGGAGACTTGGGTTTTTTAAAACCCCTTCAGAAATCTAAAGCTGCTGTCGTGTGTGTGTGTGTGTGTGTGTGTGTGTGTGTATAGCCTAACAACTCAATGGTGAAGTTATAAAAACATTTGTGACTCCAGTTTACCACAAATTATGTTTGATAGTACAAATAATGAATGGTGTTCAAAACTTTCCCACCAGGTACTCGTAACATTTATACCCAAATCTACATATACTTGATTTTCCACAGTAAATGCTGCTACATATGAAAATTACAAAGTCACTGAAATACGCACAAGAATGCCATATCTATTCAAAGTTTTGGCTATAAATACCCCCCTTCTATTGTGTTACACCAGCAATTCTCAAACTTATTTTTCCCAGAACCCTCTTTACATTATCAAACTGGAATAAAGCCCTTGGAAGTTTTGTATCTGTGCTGTACTTATTTTTTTCCATATTAGAAATTAACAGAGCTGCAAACATATTTAATTCACTGAAAAAGAATAATGCACTGCAGAATAGCAATTTCATATGACTTATGAAAAGTACATTTATACACTTATATATTTTTTAATCAATTTTTTATGTGTGTGGGTATTTTTGCCTGAATTTTGTCTGTGCACCATGTGTATGCAGTGCCCTCAGAGGCCAGAAAAGGGCATTGGCTCTCTGGGATTGGAGTGACAGAAGGTTGTCAACCACCATGTGGATGTGGGAACAGAACCTAAGAAGCCTGTAAAAGCAGCCAGTACTCTTAACCACTGAACCATTGCTCCAGTTCCCCAAGTCATTTTTAAAAACAAAATTACTAAAAGGAATTGTAACTACACTGGGCAGGAGAGGGGATAATTCGAAAGAGACCTTTGTAACCCTCCCTTCAACCATCCTACTATTAAAACAATAAACTCCAAAAAAATTAAAGTTCTCCAGGAGGTTCACTCTAGTGGAAGGAAAAGCCTTGACATCAGCCATGACTTTGCTTCCCAGTGGGAGACTTCATACAGTTCTTACAACTTAACACATATGTATGTTAGCCTCTAGTTTATCTTTTCTATAGAATTATAGCATTACCAAAGAAGAGGCAGAGAAGAACTAGGAGACTTTCTGTCTCTGGTTTAG